TCATTTACAATGGTGTCTTATTAAAAAACTGAGTTAAATGGATGACAGAATAACATAAAACTTAAAATTAGGGAAACAAAAACGTAAGAGGAAAGTCTATGTGAACTGGGGTTAGGTCAAGATTTCTTGGATGGCACGAAAAGCAAAATCTATAAAAGAACAAGTTGATAAGTTGGACTTCAAAATTTTAAACTTCTGCTCTTTGAAAAACACTGTTAAGAGAATGAAAATATAAGCCATAGATGGAGAGAAAATATTTGCAAATCATATATTCTATAAAGGACTTACATGTAGAACATATAAAGAACTCTTAAAACAATCATACGAAAACATATCATACATAAGTTTGAGTGGACAAAGGTTTTCATTTTTCTTTGGTAACATCTAGGAGTAAAATAGCTGGGTCATAGGATAAGAATAAAATTTTCATTAATTTTGTTTACTACCGTTTGTCTATGTTGTTTCCTATTGTCTTACCTTATGTTTTCTACTACATTGATTTTAGCTCTTGTACTATTCCAGGTTTCTATTTATTTCTGGTTTAATTTGTAATCTTTTTCTAGTATCTTAAGGTGGAACCTCAGGTTATTTATTGCCTACGCCCTAATTTCCAGAACCTGGGAATATGTTACCTTGCCTGGCAAAAGGGCAAAGGGACTTTGCAAATGTGATTAAGGGTAAGGACCTTAAGATGGGGAGAGTACCCTAGATTCTCCAGGTAGACCCAATCTAATCACACACAGCCTTAAAATCAGAGAGACTCTCCTGGCCACGTCAGAGATTGAGACGGAAGAAGAAGAAAAAGAGATGCAGAGAATGAGAAGGATTCAACCCACCACTGCTGGCTCTAAAGATGAAGTAAGGGAGCCACAAGCCAAGGAACATGGGTGGCCTCTAGAATCTTGAAATGGCCTTAAGCTGAGAACCAACAATGAAATGAGGATCTCAGTCCTATTACTGTAAGGAACCAAATTCTGCCAACAACTCAAACAAGAAAATGCTCCTCCCCTAGAGCCTCCAGAAAGGAACACAGTCTCACTGACACCCTGATTTCAGGTAGGGTGAAAATCTACAAGAGCATCTACAGGAGTCTGATATAGGGACTCTGTATCAGACTTGTGACCTGCAGAACTGTAAGCTTCTAAATTTGTAGTAATTTGTTATGGCAGCTGTAGGAAACTAACACACCGCTTTAAAGTCTTTGTGTGCTAATTTCAGCACCTCTATCATCTTGGGATCTGTTTTTATTAACTGCTTCTGTTCTTGATCATGGCCACATATTTCTGCTCCTTGTGTCTAGCAATTTTTAATTGTAGGCTGGTCATTACATTCTTCTATTGAAGCACTGTAGGAAGTCTAGATTATATCACTGTCCTTTAAAAGGAGTAGAACTTTATTCTGGCAGGCAGTGAAAGTACTGACAGAACCTTTTTTCCCTGTTAGGCTTGACTGTATTTTTTGTTAGAGTGGATCTATTTTAGTTTTGAACTTAGCCCTAGAGCATGGCCATTACTCCAGGGCCCAGTACTTACTGCTAAGGTATGGTTTTCTTGGGGGTCTCAAATGAATACTTAAAGGGTTCAGCAAGGTCTTTTAACTCCGGATGGGCCAGGACTCCTGTGTCTTCCAGGACTGCCTGACCTCTGACATCTCCATTCCATACTCTGCCCCACAGTAGGTGATCTCTTTCAGGACTCTCCAAGTCTTTGCTACACATGCTCAGCCAGCCCTTGCCTAAATCCTATAGTAAACGTCCCCATGAAGTCTTCTTCCCTCCCCCATTCCATACTGTACCTCCTTCTCTGTATCCTACCCCATAAATTACAGCAACTTCTGCAGCTCAGAAGGCTAATTTCTGCCTTAGCTCTGCAAGACCACTACTTTGCTTGAATTCTATCTTCTTTACTGCAAGTAGGAAAGTGCTTCTACAAAGAAAGCTGGGGTGACAGTGGGGTATGACTTTTGCATTTCCCTTCTCTCAAGGAGCATGGTTATGTCCTACTTGTTGTTCCTGCCCAATTTCATAGTTGTCTACAGTGGAAGGTTAAGTCCAATACCAGTTACTCTATTATAGCTGTAGAAAGAAGCCCCAAAATGTATCATTTTTATGACTTAGCACTTTAACCAAGTGTTTCCAATGACCTGTCTCAAGAGAGTTTCTATGGTACTTATTTCAGACAGTTATTGGGAGGATTAAGTGCCCTATGCATGTAAAGCATTCAGCAGGGGGGTGGTATGCTCTCAAAGAAGGACTGGTTAAGAAGAATTATGCACATGTTTAAACTGTTAAATTTTCAAGTGCACTGTCTGAGCAATTTCACTATGACCACTCATATAAACTTAAATGAATATAACAGTCAAAGTATTTTAATTTTCTTAAGGTACAGAATATTTGTCTAAGCATTCCTCTTTCAGTTACATCAATGAATAATTACAGAAAGGAAATAGCTGTTCTAGCCTTAAAGCTATTGTCAAATAAAGTCATTAAGTTAAGAACAAAGTTAAACAAATTACTACACTCTTTAGTAACCAGTTCAGTTTGAAAATTAAATTAGGCCCTCCATTAAAAAATAAAACAAATTAAAAACACTCTATCCATAATTAAGTGTTTTGCTTATTTCTTAAACTTTGTCTATGTGCTTGGTATGTAAATATATGCAATTTCTTTAAAGGATGTTTTTCTTGGAAGCCCATCTTTCATCAAAAAGCTTTTCCTTATATAGCTAAAATGTTTGTGAAAAGCACTTAGCGATTGTTCATAGGTGTGTGATGAACAATCCACATGGTATCTAGCAATGTATCTCATCTCAATTTCAAAGAGCTTGAAATTAGTGGTGAACAACACTGTCCACCAAATGAATTAAGACTTAGAAGTATGAAACAAGAGATTTAAAGTATTTGTTATAAGCAGCTGATGAAGTCTACAATATAATGGCAATGAATAAGGAGGATGATTCTAATGGGAGTTTCCTAGTCAAGGTGAACTGAGAGGAATTAATATAAAACTGATTTTTTCCACTATGTGCCTTTAAGAAAATGAAGACATTATGAAAGGCCACTGAGCTGGAGCCCCAAATTTAATTCTAACCGATCACATAACGAGTGCAAGGTTTGGGACCAGATGCTTAAACTTTCTGCATAACAGATTCCATCTGTATGGTTTTACACACGGCATGGATTAGAGACCACTGAGCACCCTTCCAGGGATAACATCCTATGGCCCTGTGGGTACTTAACTTCCCCCAGCAAATGCATACACAGATCATATCTCCATGAGACTAATCACCCTAATTTGATAGTCACAGTAATACAAAATGAATTCTATATTAAATTTTTGTTTTAGAAGAGAAGCTCATTCTTCTCTAAATCATAATCTACACCAGACTAAATGTGCAAAGAAGAACTAATTCTTTCATTTTCCCCTAGCCACTGCCCCTGGGCTTGACACTGCTCTCCCTGCGCAAATTCTAACACTAAAAGTAGTCTCTTTGACTTTCAACATGAGAACTTGCACTACGACCTCTCTTCTCCTCACCAGACCTTCCCTTACATACAAGAGACAGTGTAGTAACATACTAAAGAAAGCCAGCCCTTTCAGGTTCACATCCCAGATACATCACTTGCTGTGTGACAATCGGCAAGTTGCCTAACCTCTCTGTGCTTCAGATTCCTCATCTGCAAAATGGAGGTGACAGTAGTGTCTATTTCATAAGATTTTTGTGAGGACTCCAGGAGTTAACACAGAGAAACCACTTAGAACATTGCCTAGAAGGCAGCAAGCACACGACATACTTGCTGCCATTATTAAGCCATTATTACCATCTTCTCTCAGAAGCCCAAGTTTTTTCTCTTGATGTAGACAGTTCAGAACTGTGGAAAGAGCAGTAAAAAGAATCTTGTATCTTAGTCTTGACTCTATAGTGACTGATATTTTTAAGCAAGTGTTTGCCTTCTTCCTCAAAGGGAGAAGCTCCAGGAGGGCCGGCCCACCTGTTTGTTCACCACTGTATCCTCAACGCCTGGCACCGGGTAGGAACTCCAATACAATTCTGATAAGTTAATGATTTAACAAATGAAGGTGGACAAGATTCAGAGACAGAGGGCAAAGGATAATCCACAGAAAAGTAAAAAATGTTGATGAGCAAAAAGAAAAAGAAAAATCTGGGACCACAGTATGGGGATGAGGGGGGGAAAAGTGTGAAAGGAAATAACTGGTTTCCGAACGAAGTGTTAACATCTAAAATCACCAGCCCCCTTCCACCACCAGGCTGTCAGCTCTTCCAGGGCAGAAACCCCATCATCCACCACGGTCTCTTGATTTAAAAGTATTCACTATAACACTTTTACAGTAAGTGATAAATTCGGTGGAACTGTATAAAATTGCCACGTGTAAAGGTCAAAGACGGTGTCAATGCTAGAAAGGTTCAACCTGGTATAATTGGTTCAATCTAACATAAATAACTGTTAATCCTGCCAACTCAGTCTCTTGGTACATTTATAATCACATTTACAACACCGGCTGTCTGTAAACTTCCTATTATCTCCTACGTTTTGGAGGTGAGGAAGCCTCACAGCTGATAGGTGCCGGAGTCGGTTCCCTCAACCACCAGGCTACACTGCCTTCCCAAAGAGTCCGAGGGCTGTGGTTCAGAGACAGCGACTAGCCCACGCTGCAGGCAAGGAGATGAGCGGGCTCGAACCCGGCGTGTCTGACGCCCAAACCCTAGACCTTCCACTAGCCAGCCTTTCCGTCAAATCCAACACTTTCCTCCCCCGCCCCGACGCCCACCCCCTTTTACAGAACGGGAACCTGGGCCTGGCCGGGGCCAAGCTGCCCCGCCAGTCAGCGGGCGACATGGCACTGCCCGGTCTGCAGAGAGCGAAGGGCTAGGCCGGGCTGTGGTCCCGCTGGCGGAAAGAGGCGCCGAGGGTCCCAAGAGGCCCGGGACGATGCCCAGAATGGGGACAATCGAGGGCGGAAGGTGGGAGAGGGCGCTTACTCCGTCCCATGGCGCCTCTCGGGTTCGCGGGCCCAGGAAGCTCGACCAGGACCCCCAAGGACTCCCTGGACGCCTCCTGGTCTCTCCTCCGCGCGCCCGCACCTGGGAGCCATGGCAACGGTGATTCTACGGCGGCCGCGCGGGGCCAGGCGGGGCCGCGTTTCCCGACTCAGGAGGAGCAAGGAGGCGAGAATGGGCAGAAGAGGGGCTCCCCGCGAGGAGACAGGGGCACCCCGCAACCCAGACCTAGTCCTCCTCCACGTCCCCACCTTCCACCTTCGCAGACTGCCTCCCTTTCCCCAGATCAACTGGCCAGACTAAACAAAGAACCAAGGGACGCTCTGTTTCCTGAGGGGAGCTGCTTCCTAGGCGTGCCTCTTAGCCCGCCCTTTACTTTTTTTTTCTCTTTGTATTTTATTTAACGCCTTCCGGAGCCAGGAAATCTGGAATCGGCCCACACTGCATTTCCCAGAGGTGTGACCTTAAACTTCCTTAACCTTAGCTTCCACCTGTTAGATGAGTGCTAATAATAACCTCCAAGGATCATTGTGAAGCTTTTTTTGTTTTTGGCAGTACGCGGGCCTCTCACTGCTGTGGCCTCTCCTGCTGCGGAGCACAGGCTCCGGACGCGCAGGCTCAGCGGCCATGGCTCAGGGGCCCAGCCGCTCCGCAGCATGTGGGATCTTCCCGGACCGGGGCACGAACCCGTGTTCCCTGCATTGGCAGGCGGACTCTCAACCACTGCGCCACCAGGGAAGCCCCATTGTGAAGCTTTAATGAGATAATCTGAGTGAATGAAAGACACTTTTTTAAAACAGCAGACTCAGTATTTAGGGGATGGAGCAGGCTACCCAGGAAAGGTGCCCCATTCTTTTGGACATTGGACACTTCTTCATTTTGGGATCTTTTCACTAAAATCTAGGATAAGAGCTCCTTCTGGGAGCAGGGTCTTGACAGATTGTTTGACACTCTGGTGGAATAGAGAAGAGATGTGGGTGCTAAAACAGGGAAACCAGGAATATTTACTTCGTAATTTGTCATGAGCCAGGCTGGGCTGGTTATGCTGTGTCCTTCCTCAACTCAACATCACAGACACCGTTTCTTAGAATCAGAGGACCCATGGGCCACAGAGGACAGGTGTACAGTGTGCTATGATTGTTACAGTCCACTGACAGGAAGGGAAACTGGGAAATAAATCACAATGTGACAGCTCCTGGTAAAGTCAAGTTCATTTCATTCAAACTGAATGTGGTAGTTTAAAGAGCCATGGTGTGTGTCTGCTTATGCAAATCATTATTCAAAATAGACTTATTTCTTTGGCTCTTGGAAATGTAACAAGATGAGTGGGGCTTCCTGAGAAAACTGCTGCAACATATTCTATATATAAGTAGAAATAAATTTTAAAGATGGTTTTTAAAAATTCCAGGAACAGCAAAATAGGTCTCCTTCTTTTGTGCTGGATAAATTCCAGGGACATTGACCTGGAAAGCTATTGGGTTCTTATTATTTTTACTATTATTATATAATTCAGTATTTTTATGATGTGTAACTGATACTGTGGTTACAATTTCGTTGTACTTTGCGTTAATTTTCCTTCAGAAGAATTTCCTCATTGCAACTCTATAACAAGTAAACCAAGCTCCCAAGCTTACCAGCACTTCTACAGTTTCAAGTTCTTCCTTCCCTCCTTCTTTCATCCAGAATTTCCAGTGGTGGATGGAAAGATTTTAAACCTGCCTGGATACAAATTATTTTACATTCCTTCCGTTGAAAGGCAGTGTCAATGCCCTTTACCTTGAATCTGGGCATGCTTCTGACCACTTGGACCAATAGGGTACAAAGAAAGAGATGCTCTGTGATTTGCAGAGTTAGTTCATAAAAATCTGCTTTGCTAAACACTGACTTGTGGAGTCCTGAGCTGCCTTATTAGAAGCCTGTCTACCTTAAAGCCACCATGCTGGAGAAGCCAAGTGTAGGTGGCCCCTCCAGCCAAGCCCCAGCCTTTCAGCTCTCCCTGTCCACATGGCAGGTATTGAGTGATGCTGTCTTGGGCCCCGTAAACTAGACCATCCATCTCTGAATGTCAGTGTGTCAATGCCACATAGTACAGGAGAATCACCCAGCTGATCCCTGCCGGAATTCCTGACCTACAAAATCATGAGATAAGTTTGGGAGTAGTTTAATACAGCAGGAGAGAACTGAAACGGTGGACTTGACTGCTACGAGAAATGGTCAAGTCTTTTCCTTTGTAGTCTATTGGTTGAAGTGGCTGGAAGTACACCAGGATTCAAAGGGTGGACAAGTCCCTTCCACTGCATGTTTATGGGATGGTTTAATGCTGTTCAATTAAATACAGTTTGTTAGTTGCATTTACTTAATTAAAATGTGTTTGATCTGTGCAGGATTTTGTAGAAGGAGATGCCTCATTTAGGTAGGAATCTGGACTCAGTTGTTTCTAAGCATTGTGTGAGCAGTCTCAGTCCTCTGTTCAAATCCTAATACATAAGACACATAAAAGAGGCTCTTCTCTGGTTTGAAGCAGATGGCAGTGTCCCTGAGCACTAATCTGATATGAACTGAGACAATTCAATCGGTTATTTGTCTGTGTAGACCTAGGAAAAGAACAGTGTTTGATTTTGTTTGCTTTCAGAGGCTTTTAGAGGCTCATGGGAAATTCCTAGAAGTAGGGTTTGAAAAACGCAGAGCTAAAGTCTCCCCCTGAATCCTCCAAGGCTACTGATACCCAACTTCCACATGCCCAGACCAACCCACCAGCCCCACTTGGTGTTCTCCAGAGTCCTTCCTCGGTCTAAAATTTCATACCTATGTTTGCTCTTCTTGCTTAACTAGACCAGTAATTCTCATCTGAAAAGGGAAACAGTATTAAATACTGGTGTGTGTATTAAAACCCATTAATTAAACTTAAGCCCTTTACTGCCAGAGCAAATGAATATACATCTGTTTGGGTAACCCTTCTATTACATCTCTACGACATCCATGGGAAAGCGTTCAAACCCGGTTAGTCATTGCCGTGAAGAACACAGTCTTCCCAGTGACAGGTCACAATTTCTCTCAGAGTCTAAAATATAGAATAAAGTATTTCCTTCATTTCCCATGAGGTCTGCCCCTCTCAGATGGGCACCGTCATGCCCTCTCCCTTTCTGGTTTCCTGAACTGTTTCCTTATTTGCCTCTCAGCCCACCCTTCCCCACTGCCTCCCAGCTCCATCCTGCCATGTCCCTTGGACATCTGTTGTTTCTGGACCTTCCCCAGCTTCAGTGGGAAGAGACTAAGTCTTCCAGATTCTTCTGAGTAAAGCAACTCTAACACAGAGTAGAATCTTGCTCGCACTGACTGTCTCTCATAACCTTATGTTTGAAGCGGACATTTGTTTTGTCCCAGTATTTACTCCTCTGGGTCTTGTTGGAGGGCGATTCCAGGTACGAGTTTCCTGATATAGAAGCCAAAGTTACCCCTACTACCCTTTTGGTTCTATTGCCAGGGTCTGTTTTCATTACTAGCAACAAAGAACCCTAAGTGATACGACTTTGATGCCTTATGATGCTAAAAGATACCGTTCCCATTAGTTAGGACAATAAGCAGAAATCAAAAGGTAAAAAAGGTAGAGAGTTCAGCCCTGCCTCGGTTACCATCCAAAAAGTCCAGTCCATCAGCACACATGTCCAGAGAAGGAAGATGCATTGATCTTAGAAGGCTGGTGACCAAGGTTTCCCCTTGATTAGTTTATTTATTTGCTTCAAGCTCAGGAGTTCTGTCATTTTCTAGTACTTCCTGGAAGACATGTGCTAGCAGGTGGTGAAGGCCTAAAAAAATTGCATAAAAGAGGAAACTAAAAAATCGTATCCACTCATTTAGTTTTCTCTGAGAATTGGGTAAACAACAGATTTGTTCAGTTTTGGAGTTACAACACCTGGGTCCAGCTCATAGAAAACCTGAGATCCACAAGACTATTATTTGACAACCACTGAGTTCTACAGGGATATGAAAAAATGAAATCCACAGAAATTAAAGCTGTATCTCCAGAAACATTAATCCTGCCTTAATATAATCTACAAGGATAAACTTGATATGAGGCCCCTGGGGAAATTGCAAGTAACTGCCAATTTTGCTAATGATAATAAGTTTATTTTAATTGCTAATATATTCCTAATTACTCTAGTTCTAAAATGTTTACTTCACTGTCAGTCATCTTCTTTGATTTATGTTCTTCGTGAAAAGACTTTGTCATATCGATCAACCCTTTCCAAGTTGGGTGGCAGCTGCCGAAAATGATCTCACCTTCCTTGTCACACAGCCCTGCTGTGCACCATTTGTCCAAAGGCAGAGAGTGGCCTTTTACCCACAAAATCTTCTAGAACTCATAGCTTCCCATTTCAGCTTAGAGAAAAGTAATGTTTTCAAGGTTTTGCTTACATGAACAGAGGACTGACGCTGTCTTTTCCAAACTCCGATTTTAATATAATCTTTTACTTGACCTGTCTCCTCTTACAAACCTGAATGTGTGTATGTGTTTGTGTGTGTGCACGCACGCGCAAGTGCGTGTGTACCCAAATAATTGTTTCAAGAGCATGATGTAGTTGGTATAAAGATTCCTCATCTGGGTGGGCATTAGAGGGTCCCATTAACTCGTTATATTTTTGTTGCTGTTAACCAACATGTATTGGGCTGGGCACAGAGTGCTGACCGAGACTGAAGGGTTTGACCATCCAGGAACTTATATACACATAGGGGGAGATAGACAATAAACAAGTAAACCAATAAAGACTGCATAAGACAATTGCAGGTGATGATACAGGTTATGAAAGAAAAATGGGAGATGGAGTAAATTCAGAGGAAGGCTACCTGGGTAGTCAAACAGGTCACATTTGGGATGAGCCCTGACCATGAGGAGGAGCCAGTTATGTGAGGAACTAAAGGGAAGATTTTCCCCGGGAGAGAGAAGAGTAAAAGCTCTCAGATGGAGGAAAACCTGCCCTGCTAAAGGCACGGAGAAAGGTGCCTGATATGATGGGGCAGACGATCAAAGAACAAATGTTAAGGGGTAGGTGGGAGGCTAATAATCAGTAAGACCTTGTAAGGAGACAGAGTGTTATTCCAAACGTGATGGACACAGACGCATACAGAGGGAAGACCACGTGAAGACACAGGGAAGAGACAGCCGTTTACAAGCCTGGATCAGGTCCTTCCCTCATGGCCCTCGGAAGGAACCAAACCTACTGACACCTTGATTTTGGACTTGTAGCTTCCAGAACAATGAGAAGATACATTTCTGTCATTTAAGTCACCCAGTTTGTGGCACTTTGTTATAGCGGTCCCAGCAAACTAATATAGGAATCAAGGAGGACCCCTGAATTTTT